TTTTAATTACACCTAATCACATCCTTAATAAAAAAAATGTATGTCATTAATTATATAAATAGAACCCAAGTCATGTATAGAAATCAAAGAAAGGTATAAAAATGAAATTGGAGTGATATAACCTCTCTGGCTTATGCATTTAATGAGAATTAAAATTTTTAATTATAATTGAAATTGTGAAAGAAAAAAATGGGGATTTAGAGAAGAAAAAAATATTCTAAAGATGAATTTGTCATTACATTGTAAAGATTTTGTAGATACAGTTATAATAAAATAAATTCCGAATTTTCATTATGGCGTCAGTAAATAAAGAAATTGTGTAAATAGAAACGAAAACTATTATTTTATTTTCGTCGTGTTATACATGAAGAAATTGTTTTTTTTTTTAAATTTCGTTTTTAGGAAAACCAGCACATTTTCCGCAATCGAGGGTGCGTCTTAAGGACTGGTCCAAAAGTACTCGAGGAGAAAAGAGATCGAGCGGGGCCGCGCGCCGGTTGTTATTGCTGGTAGGGGAGTTTGCAGTGAGAGCCATCGAGGCGCCAGCAGGGAAAACCCCTGACATTCGCAGAACTAACCCGCAGAGATGCAACCCTGCAAGACTCTCAACACTCTCCGGTTTCATGGGGATTTCCATCTCTCTCTCGGATTTTTTGCCACCATCCCCACGTACAGAACAGAATAAATTAAAAAACAAAAGAGTGGTGGCGCCGGGAATGGGATTGATGGAGGTATGTTTTTTTTTTTTTCACTACTTGCACTCTGGGTGGATGCTTTTTTCATAGCGGGTAAACACGAAAGCTTTTTGCATGAATAAAATTTCACAAAGGTAGAAATGTTAAAAAAGCATTACGATTTCTCTCTGTGAAAGCTAATTGTCATAAATATTCCGTCAGAAATGGACTTTTCACTTCGCTGGAAATGCAGCCCGAAGGACAATTGGAGAAATAAACGGTGTTAATTGAAGCTTCGTTGTTTCGCTCGGAATGACGACGCCGAGCTTGAGCATTTTGTTTAGCAATTCTAATAAGCGCAGACCCGGCCTCTTTCTCGAGCGGCCACTCTCGCACGTAGAGTGCTTTATGCAACCGGCTAAGCAGACGTGTCGTGCCGGGCTGCCGACCCCTGCCTGCACGTCAGCCGAGGCGCCACCGTTTTCAAGATATAAACGTCAAGATGGATGGATAATAATGAGAGGCTTGCACGCCTAGCTGAGGTTTCTCCACAACCTCTTCAAATATCACTAGCTTATTCTTCAGTTGGCTACATTTATTGTCTAAAAAATGCAAATAAAATAAATTTTAATTTAAATTTAAAATAAATAATTTTTAGCTATTAATTTTTATTTAAAATTAAATTATATTTATTTTTGTAATTTATTTTTTTAAATTTAATAACTTGCTTCAGATTTAATTTTTTTTCAAACCATAATTATTATAACAAGTCAACAAATAATCAAAATTGAAAAATTTATAATCTACATTTCCAGCCACTAATAATGACATAATTGAATCACATTAGAAACAATAGTCAATTCCAACTGATTTTGTGTAAGTTGATATAAAATTTGTAAATAATATAATAAAACACACATGACCAAGTGCGAAACAATATAGAAGGAGGAACAAAATAATTCATGATTAATAATAAGCACTTTTCTAGGCAATTACGGAATATGAATATAATTTAACATTCAGAGAAAAAAAATGGTGGGTAAAATGAATAAAGTCATTAAAAAAATTCAAAATTTCAACTGGATTTAATTGGAATTTGTGGCAAATTTAGTGTAACTTCTCTATTCGATTCCTGCATTACAGTTTCATGGATCAAAATTTAATGTTTAGGCATTTAAAAACACTTTTTCTTCTCAGTCCTTTTGTTGTTAGATTTATTAATTTAATTATTCTGTGAATTTATAGATATGAAATTTTAATAATTAACTAATAAATTATTATAAATAAAAATACAAATCATTTCAGTTTAATTTGAAAACTGCAAATATTAAAATAGAAATTTGATGTAATCTTCATTCAGAAAGAATTATATAAAATCATAACAAAATTAATTGCCTCGTGACAAAGCGATGAGTAACAACACTAAACTTCCTCTCAGATTAACAAAACGCCAATTTCCCGACGCAATTCGCTTTCACGCTCAGCCGGCTGCTCCTCTTTCTCTCTTTGCTAAAACCGTGCAGCTTTTATCGCGCAGATAAATTACACTGGGCGATTGAAAGGATTCTCGTGCGTGGCGGCACCGCTGCTCTGTGCGAAATGAGTTTCGTTGTGTGTGCGAGCCGAGGTGGACACTGGTTGTGCAAAATCGATTTCGTGCCAATTCCGGCGTCGTTTCCATGGCGACGCTTTTGGCTTTTTATTTCGACGCGGCTGCGAATGTTAATTTTTGATGAGTGCTAAGGGAGCGCGCGCCGGAAATCGGCCACGCGTTTCCTGCGCCCAAAGTTGGCCGAATTTTCTTTCGTTGCCTGCAACTTTGTCCTCGCCTTTCATCAAATGGAGGAGGTGCGTCGCTAATTGACGGCTATTTGCGACGAGAGTTCGTGTTTCTGCTCAGAAGGCCAAATTGCCTTTTAGCTCTTTCGCTCGGTTTCGCATTTCTTGCCGCAACTCGAGAGGTGGAAAAAAGGAGTTTCCGAATTGAAAAGTACGTTTTCTTTCACCGAATGAGGTCAGAGAGTGTTTCACAAAAGATCATTTGTTCTTCGGCTCAAAGAAACAAAAGAGGCGAAAAGTAGCTTTTTCTTTGATCGTTCAAATGCACCATTTTGACGAAGCCTCGCAAATTAAATCCCTCCAGTTTTTACGTTAAATTAAATGAATAAAAAAAAAATCACCGGCAGCTTTTTAATTAAGCAAAAAGGATGTAATTCCGCCCGAGTTTCTGATTGAGTTGGAAGCGCAGCGCTGGCAATTATTGATGGAGCGAGCTGATGGCGCGCCAGGTCGTTTGCTGCAAGAGGTGCATTTGACCTAGATAATGCTTTTGCAATTTGTCGCGCAGGTAAACAAAACACGGCAGCTCCTATCTGTCTTGCTTGTTTTTTCTTTCTTTTGCCGCATGCAGACGAGAGATGTGCACAAAAAATAGCGTTGCTGCATTTTCCTCTTTCCCAGTCCTCACTTTAATTACGGCGCGTTTTCCAAGAACTTGGTGCAGCGGAGAGGAAGTGGAAGATAAAAAGCAGGGTGCGCGGTTCGTTGACGCGGAAACTGCAGTTTGAATAAGTTTATTAAGTATTTCTTTTTTCATTTGGAGAAACACTCATGTTTCTCTAAGATTTCTTGGAAATAATTCATGGCTATAATTATGCATGAGTAGATTTAAAAAAAAATTGTTACCCGCAAGGTTGAGTGCAAAAAAATGGTTAATTTTTTCTTTATATAATAATTATTACAAATATTTTGAAAAAAAAAAACCATTGACGCTAAATAAATTAGAAGTTCTTAATTATTATAATAAGAAATTTAAATATTTTTATTACAATTATTGCAAATTTATAGATCATGATAAAAGTCTCAAAATCGCCTGGAAAATTAAAAAAAGGTAATCTTGAAAAATATTTTTTATTTGAAAAGTAAATTAATTGTGGCTTTTATTTTCAATAAAATTCACAAAATTTGCAAAGATTGTTAGTCATCTTTTTGGAGTTCTGAAAAAAATCAAAAAGAAGTTTTTTAATGCAATAAGAAGAACAATAAGAAAAATTTCCAAGTTTCTACAGCCCTATCGGCCTTTTGTAGAGATGGATGGGAAACTACGCGAGATAGGAAAACAGGACGCGCGCGGGAAAGAAAAACACCCTTGGCCTAGTTCCTGGGCATGAAATATTAAAAAGTGCGCGTTTCCCGCCAGAGCCAACTCGCCATCCCTCTCTGCAATTTCCGCGGAACTCGAGCACATTACGCTCAACAGCAGCAGCTGCTTTGAGCTATGCGCCGTGCACCTTATGCAACTCGTGCGGCTTTGCACGTGCATAATGCAAAACTACTTGCTCTCGCGTCCACACAAGAGAGATGAGATGAAACTCGAGAGTGGCTTGCACTGCGGCAACAATAATTGCCATCGACTCATGAAACTCCACCACAACATTTCGCTTTGCAGCAATTACAGCGGACGCTGGTAATTAGCAGTGTGAAGAGTTTTGCTCCTTGGAAATAATGTTCATTAGAAACTTATTAGGTTACTATAACTTTCAAAGCTCAAATGTATAAGTTTAGAACAGGAAAGATTATTTTAAACTTTCTTACGAGTTGATATAGAACATTTTATCCAAACGTGTGACAAATTTCTAAAACAAGAAGACATAAATTTATACACATAGGTCATTATAATTGAACTTAGAAGCATAGATTGATTCAATTTTACAAATTTTTTTTTTACAAACATATAAGTCCATCTAATAACAATAACAAATAGACTTTCTCAGTAAAAATCGGAAAATCCATCAAAATATGATTTCAGAATGTCATTATTATTTTTTAGCTTGATAAAAGAATAAAGTGAATCTATGTTTTGCACCGAAAAATTTAATAACACGTGGAACTGTTTCAAATTAGATAAACCTAGATCTCTAAATCAAACATGTATTTTTTTTCAAACGCTACTTCTACAAATTGTATTAACTCGCAGAAAAATATCATTGTTCAAAAAGTATATAAATAAAACATTTTTATAGTAATTCTTACTCGATGCTTGACTTGAAATTTACCAGATAAATTATTTTTGGCATACGTGATCTATTAATCTGACAACTTCCCTAATTTTTGCAGGAATAATCGTTGAATTTTACTCTGAGAAACTGCAAATCTGTCTATAAATAATGTATACACTCAAATTTAAAGACAATTTACGAGACAAATAACCATAAAATATTTGGTTTCTGCTCGTGGGCGCGCTCAATTATCCCACGCGCCGCGTCAACATACAAATAAAAAAAAACCCGAAGAAATCTCACGTCAATCTCATTTTTAAAAACTCACCTTTTTGCAGTATTCGAGCACGGCCATCTTGTCGCGTGGGCAGATGGCTTTGGTCTCAGGGTCTGAGACCCAGTGACCCGCCTCGGTCATGTACTGGTTGTGGTAGGTGGCCCGCGGCTCGCACATGACGGCGACCTGCGGCTCAAAGTGGGCGGCCGGCACTTCTGCCGCCGTCGAGGTGCCGCCGACGCTGCCAGCCTGCAACACAAAAAACATTCATCATCTCACGTTCTTTATATGCATTCGCTGGTTGGGAAAAAAAGAAGCAAAAAGGTCGCCGCTATGCCGCGAGCGCCCAATCCACAAAGGGACTACGTAAATTTCTGCGCGCTGTTTGCTCTGCTGGGAATGAATGTCACGCCAAAGTGAAAATGAAAAGGGACGAGGCACGGAAAATGAAAAGCCCTTCGCGTCCCAACTGTCACTGCAGTTCTAAATGATCGCGCATGAGCTTAGCAATTTAAAGGGCGACCTAATCCCGGGATCAAGTTGAGAAATTTGTTTCTACACTTGTTGTTAGTCTGAACAAAACAATGCATTCAATATCTATATTTTGCCATATTAATTAATTAAATTGATAAGTTGACCCATTTTTTAATACGGTTTTGTTATTTAAAAAATACATTTGTTTGATTTAGTTTTATATATTTGTTAAAATTAAATTGTGATTGCAATTTGGTTTTACAGATTTCCAAATTTAAAAAAATTTGCACTAAACGGCTCTATAGCAAAAATTTTGCTACAATTGTCAAAATTACAAATAAAATAATGGCAGTCTAATTAAAAAAAAAAAAAAAATACACAAAACCTTTTCCCAAATAACTTTAATGTAAAGATTTAGAAACTTTAAAATATAGTTAGAGCAGCTAAAAAAGCTTTAAATATTTAACATTTTTTTGCCATAAATGCCAAAGTTAATTTTCTACACGAGTTAATTTTCGGCTGGTCTTTTTGTGGTCACGCTTTGTTGTTTCATTTAACCCGCCAGAGTAAATTGACACAGACGCCTTTTGCAAGGAGGAAGTGCTAATCGAAACTGGGCCCATCATTAGCCTGTGTGGTCTTTGTCTAGTTTGATTAACTCACTTTGAGCCGGACAGTCGTCACATGGAATAATGTTTATATATATTTTATACCCGGCTCATCCATCCATAAACCCACTCTAGTGTAAACAGAGCCGACGCGATAGTGCGTTCGTCGGCTGTTGATAGTAAGGTTTCCAGCACGCTCTTCTCGACGCCGTATTTATTTACTGAAATTCTCCTCCACTTTCACGGCGGCGTGGCTTTCTTGACGGCAAAGAGGAAGCCTTTGAAAAATGGCAGCGGCGCGCCGGCTCTTATATTCATATCGTATCATATTTTTTCGCCAAAAAAGCCGCAAAAATTAATGGAGCTGAATTTCCAAAAGTTAAAAAAGAAGTGCACCCAGCAAAGTTTTGATTCCAGGAAAGATATCTAAATTATCTTTAAATTGATTCCCGGTCTGAAAATTTTTATGACTTTGCAATAGGAAAGGTTTTTTAAAGAGATAACTCATTATAATCACCTTCATTTGCAATTTGCAGTGAGATGATTCTCAGTTGACATATAATTAGTTTGATTTCCTCACTATAATATTCACCTACTTTTTGACATATGACGTTTGCCTTATTTTATTTTCTGGACAATGGACCAAGATCACCTACATTGTAGATTAGATATTTACCCAAAATTATTAATATTCGTCACTAACAAGAATTTTTAAAATTCAAAAGTTATATTGTAGAAATATTGTTGGAAAAATATTTCTTTAAACAATTTTGAAATACATGTTTTAATATTTTAATACTATTTTGCATATTGAAAATAAATAAGAAAATATTTTTTAATATTTTAAATTGCTAAAAATAAGATTTTTTTTTTTAAATTCATGTTAATATTAATAAAAATTGGTTAAAAGTTGAATTTGCTATTAAGGGAAATGAAAACTATGTTTAAGATTAACGTTACTTGCGCGTAACTAAAAATCTCTTAATTTAAGACAAACATCCTGCAAATGTAAGCAATACAGGAAATTAATTACCCTGCCTCTTTTTTATTGATTAATTTATTCCGTTCTTCTCTCTGTGTTAATCAATTAATCTCTACACATAGATAAAAAGAGCGAATCAGATTGGTTGGCGCTTTCGAGTAATTAATCTGCGGCTTGATTGACTTTGCGACTGATCAGCAGTTGACGATTCGGGTCAGCAGCCGGGGGGGTCACGGCAGTCGTCCGTTGGCCGTTTGCATTCAAGTGTGTGCAGCGACAAAAGCGGGCAGACCGCTGCTGGGCGTCGTCCTGTGTCACACGACGTACGAACATATGTGCTGGGCGAAATTATTTAGTGACACACAGACCGACAATCCCCTCATTGTGTTCACTTTGGCTGTTGTTCTCCGCTGCTTCACAAACTGTTGAGCCGGATTTCGGACCCTGCATTGCGAATCGATAAATTTGGCCCAGGCGCTCAAGCGAGATTAAAATTTTAGGGGGCAAATATGAAAGCAAAAGCGTTTCGGGTTCGCTTTGTGTGAAAACGAAATGTGAACGGGCACGAGTGTAATGAGAGCGCAAGCCGCAGGGCATTGGAATTAATTAAATTAAATGAGAGTAAAACTGACTGTAATCGAGTGGGAAATTTACAACCTTTGACGTAATTTTGTGCTTTCTGTTTAAAAAACGGGCTGAGTTTTGTAAATTTAATAAAGTATAATTGCTTTATTATTATTTGGATTGCCTCAGCATGTGAATCATAGTTTTTGAATTCCTTCAACAATTAAAGCAAGTAAAAGAAGTCATATTTAATTTAAATTTCAATTTGAATATAATTAAAAGTTGCTGTTGACGTGGTTTTTTTTACTTCAAAAGTTTTAGCTAAATCTTTGTTATAACAATAAATTGTAGATATTTATTTATTTTAATTTACTTTAAAATGACTAAAATTTCTTCACCACTCAACGTTCTTCTCATACTATTTATTCCATTTCTGTTTTTAATTTAATTTTGATAAACTAATTTGTTGCAAGATGTTGCGTTATTTCAATGTTTTCTAATGAAAAGTATATAAATAAAAATAGAAACCAATTGAAACATTGAAATTTACGGTTAATAGATAGGGGGATTTTTGTTCAAAAGCAAAATTTCCAATAAAAAAAATTGGAACATTCACATCCATTAAGGTCTTAAATATTATTTTTTTTCTTGAGCTTTTGGAACCCTAGATTTTTTTTGCACGTTTAAAGAAGTTTGTTTCCTTTTCCTGATTACAAAATAATTAACTTTGGAGCTCATTCGCTTTCGCAGCAGGCAAAACAGCATTTTCAAATTCGCTCTCTCGTCTGGCTTGGCAACGTGCAAACAAAAATTACGGCCGGCAACCTCATTACTCGAGTAATTTCGCAATTAACGCGCTACCCTGCGCAGTTGTGCCTCCCACCCGCCCTCCCACACACAAACAGCCAAAATAATTAGACGCAGCCGTTTAATTCCGGGTTTTAATTTTGGGCCGTGCTGCAGCCACAGGCACGGGTCGTTTGCGGTGCAAATGCAGCACCAAACTCATTAGGCGCGACACTTTATTCACCTCGATTTTTGCAATTCCACCGCCCAGTTTGAGTTTCATCAGCAATTATAACACAAGGGAGAGGGACGCGCCACAGATGGCGTGCATCGATTTTGCCGGTCGGGAATCTCCCTTGCTCACTCTCGAGCGTCAAGTGGCGAAAATTGATTGCGAATCTGCTCGCCCTGAGCGAGGCGTGCTGCCTATGTCCTGAGGTGCGGCTCAGCCCATTAATCTAATGTCGCTAACCCGGCCAACGCTAATCACTGCCTCGTGTGAAACACAAAGGGGTGTAAGGAAGCCTGCGCCAGTTTATTAGTGATTTGTTTTCTGGAAGGGACTGAAATAGATGACTTGGCCTCGATTTGTCCGAGAAACGCCAGGAGCTAATTTGTACGCGTATTTTTCGTGTAAATGTTATTGCCCCAGGCCTCAAAGTAAGTTCAACGATTTTTTTTTTTAAAGATCAATGTTTAGATTAAAAAAAGGTAAAATGATGAAACACATTTAGAAGTTAAATTATATTTTTGAATATTTTAATCGCACATAACATAAATTTTTTAGAATCTAAATCTTTTTATGAATTTTGAAGCTATGCAAAATGACGAAGTTCTTGCAGAAGAAGTGACAGTTTTGTATTAGGGCATCAATTCAACGACTTGAACGTGTTTTATCGTTTGAATAATGCAATGCTCAGTAATTTAATTTATGCGAAAAAAAATAATCTTGAATCTGTATTTAACAATGTGAAAAAATTCTAATGATAAACTGACTTCAATTAAGACATAAAATAATGCACAAGTAAATAAACTGAAATATACCTGCTTCATGAAAAATCACCAAATAATTTATTTCGTTCTAATGAATAAATTAATTTTGAAAAAGTTTTCCCTCTGCATTTTGTTTTCAATCTGTTCATTTAATTTGCATTAATGTTCAAGATATAAGAAACAATTTTCAAAAATTAGTAAAATTACTCAGCTTGATGTTAACACATGGAAAAGCATCGCTCCAGGGTGACTAGAAGTCTCTCTATTGGAAAGGAAATTTTTTCCCCTTTACATATTTTCTTTTTATTGGATAAAGAGTCACATTGAGAGCTTGCCAAAGTTGGCAATTTTTGGCCCAACAAACTTCTTTCTTCGTTCTTTCTTTCTTTCAGCTGCTGCAAAACTTGGAATTCCCCGTCGACCGACCACTCACTCAACACCACCAACTCATGCATATTATTGATCTTCCCCGAAGACCCTCGCATTCTTATTTTTCCTTCAACCCCCGCCGTTCATCTTTCTCCCTTGGAAATGCCAAAGATATGCGGTGACTATTGACTATTTAGCAGGTAGATGAAAGGAAAGGGCCTCGCGCTGCTGGGGGCCACCCTCCCCCACCCCTCGTTAGGCAGCTGCATCCGAAATGGACACCTGCTGCCTCAGCATCTCTCTCTCTACCTGCAATCTGGTCACGTAATGGACCAGGGGTCGCCCTGGCCCGAAATTGATTTTATTTCGCTCGTTATCGCGCGCCTCGCAATCACGGAAAGTGTCCTCACCTATTTATTCACAAAACCCCGTATGGCATAAAATTCGGCGTTAATTTTGTTTGCGTGGGAACA